GAGAGTGAGTAAACTATAATAGTTGCTGATGTATCATTATTTTTAACTAGTTCTTGGAACTTCTGGCATGGTCACTGCCTGGAACGTACAAATAGAGGCAACCAAGGTGAGCAGTTAGGGAAACGCGAGAGATCTGTGGTTGCATTAGGTTCCCTCATCCAAGAACTGAATGCTACCTCTTGTGTGACTTTTCATCTAAACAGCATATTAACGAGGCAGGAGAAGATTTACTGGCTGATGTCCCTTTCTCCAGATTGCCAGCCTGAGCAGTCTGTAAGGTGGGCAAACTGACTATCTGTCCTAATGTTCTTGGAGGTATCCAGCCACCACTCAGACTCTTGGTCAGGCACTCAGGCAACGAGGTCTTGGCTTTCAGGCAAATCTTCTCCACAAAAGTCTGTGTCAGTCAACACTGTCTAGAGTGAACTGACTTGAATATGTTTTTCCATGACAAAATCCAGTCTGGATCTCATGCAGGTGTTAAGAGAATTGCCAGGCATCTAGTTTTTGTTCTACTGTGGTAGACTGTGGTACTTTATTTGACATTGCAACAGAGCAGAAGAACATGGCTGGTGATCTGTCTATGGCAGCCAGAGATAGATACCGTCTTCATTTCATAAGGGTCTGAGCTTCCTCCACATTGCACTGTATGTGGGGAGTGTGTGTCAGGAGGGTGCAGTCAGTGAGAGGCTGGCCTTCCCAGGCTCTGCAGAGGTTCACAAACCTTCTCTGAAGCCCTGTGTCTTGATTTCTGAGGGCTAAGGAGATGGAAAGAACTTGCAGTGCTGTGCTATGAGTTCCCAATGTTGTAACAAGGAATCAGGATTAAGAGGCCAATAGGGGCTTTCTTGCCTTCCTAACCCCTCCACGACATTCACAGCTGAGGAAGGGTGGGAGGACAGTAACTTAGTAAAACATTACATGCATCTCTTTTCATAAACTTCAGATAGGAATATAGGCTATGCGTTATCTCAACAGCTAACGTGTATTAGAAACTGAATCACATTAAATTGTTTCACTGTACACAAATTTAGTGTACTCCTCTGACTCAATGTACAGTCAGGTGTACAATTCTACCTGCATTAACCATCTAAATGAAGTCAACAGGCTTAGTCCTGTAAAAAATTACATCTCTGCATTTGAAAAAGCAGATCCTTATATTTTAAATCTCTTTGGCAGCCACACGCCCTAATTTTGTGGGACCTTACTCATTTTTTTCAGTTATATGTGATTCACACAGCTTTCATGTCTATACATTTTTACTGACATATATTTGTCTTACAAGTAAAGAGTAATTAAACTTATGCTATAGGAGTTTTACATTGTAAGGGTGAATATTAATTAAATATTTGTGTGTGTGCGTGCCACATTGATGTATATATAAATACATAAAAATAAGATATGATATGTCAGAGTTAGGCTTTAGCAGGTTTTATATATATATATATATCTCCAGAACTCTGTTTATTAATAATTGTATTGAAACATAAATACACACCTGAACTGCATGTGAAACAGCCCATATAGGAAATATGGATATGTCACAAAAAAGGACACAACCATACCCTAGCAATTTTCTGTTTTTTCAGAGGCAGCATGGGAAAATGTCTCTGCAGATCTAAAATGATGAATATCCTGGCAAGGACAGTATCCTTCAATATATGAATATCTTAATAAGTAGTTTAAGAACAGTCACATCTCTGACGATTTCTCTCCCAAAGGCATCTTAGTTGTACAGTGGATGATTTCAAGATGGTTTCTGTTGATGATGGAGAAGGAATGCAAAAAGAGTAAAATTGTTTCTCTCCTTTAATAGAATGTTGTCAGTGGTTTTCAGATGGAGATGGCTACTGCTCCTAATGAATTGTGCAAATCAATAGGAAAGGGGTAACCAAAGTTTGAAAAAGCACCCTCACACTGGTATGCCAGCCTGTACATGAACTACTCTTGGGAAGGCGTTTGAGAAAATGGTGCCACCAAACCCGCTCAGTATCTCAAATATACACATCCCTACACACATTCCTCTGAAATTCTCCATTGATTTCCATTGCAAAATCAGCATTTACAACCCTTCCTACATTGGAATATGAACATCATCTTTCTAGATGAGATGGCTGACAAAAAAAGACAATACAAATCACCATGTGTAAAAAAACACAAATCAGCACACACTTCACAAAACCAGCCACCATCCAAAACACACTAGAAAAAGCTGTAATGTACAGCCGGACTGTTGCATTCTACTACATCTGTTCTCGCAACACCTACTTCACCAATCTAAAGAACTGCCTTGAAAGAAACAGGCTGGCTATTTGAATTAGCCACCTAAATACCATCTGTGAACCTAAACATGCAAAAAGGAAACCATCATTGACGGTATGCTCCGGTCTATTACATACTACCCGACATATATGTATACAGCAAATAGTTAAACAATTGCAGCATCCTAAAACACATCCTGGAAGAATTCTTCCTGGAACCCTTTCCCACTTCTGTTTTCAGATAACCCTTCCAGCTTGCCAAACTCGTCACCTAAAGCAAATTCCCCATGTACTAACAAACACCCATCAGAACCAAACCTCGCCAGCACAGCAAATGCAAAACTCATAAATACCAACATATGTAACATAATCAGTGTAAGTGCCCAAAAGAACTATTAATTTCCATGGGCCTTGCTCATACACTTTTTCAAGTGTGATACATTACATCAAACACATCACATACATACACTCATGAGAAGTATGCGTGTGAAAATAATCAACCTTTATGCATCACAATGAACTCCCACAGGTAACTGATCACGGACACAACACAGCAAAGGTTAGGAGAATATTTTTTCACAAACAATCCACTCCATTTCTTGCACAGTCCGTATACTCACAGGGGATCTACAAATCATTTTTTAAAAACAGATGCTAGGAACAAAATTCTTAACTGTGGATAAAAAAATCATAGACTCAGTACCAAAATTATTCTTAAAGCTTACAGTTTTCTTGCTGATTCATCCTTGTACATTCATGTTAGCAACTGTTTTCTCTCTAGTGGTTTAATTACTTAAAATAATTTTATTATACAAGAACAATCATGTCCAGCTTGGATTTTGCTACTTGTCAGCCCTGATTAATGAATTTCACTGAAGTCTAAGAGTCTGTTTGTTCTCTCCAGTTGTATCAGTTGGTTTAAAGATATTACCTCTTCCACAAACCTTGTCAAACCTTCCACAAACCTTGCTTGTATCAGAGTATCATAGCCACAGTGTCATCACTACATTCTCAAAATACGCAACAGTTAGATAAACTTATAATGGAAACACTTTTTACTCCCACTTTTATAGAAAATGGAATGGGTGTGGGAGGAAGAGGGAAATACAATAAATTTTAACTTCAGATAAAGACTCACCATCATGCAAAGGTTGAAAAGCAGTGCCCTGAGGGCCTCATAAAAGCAACTATAGTTTACACTGAATCTTCTTCCACAAATTGATGGGGTTCTGTGCCACCTGCATTTATATTTACAAGTGGATCTGTCTCACCAACAGTAAAGAGCAAGGCTATATTTTTTCCACTGCAATCTCCTCTGTGCAGATTCGAAGGGGGGCCTTCTTGCCAAAAGTATTTCTGTTTAATCTGAAGGTACATTGTGTAATCAGAATGCTTTGAAACACGTCATGAAAATGTGTTGAGCTGATGTTGTCTTGATGTTCAGTTGTAACCTCTGCTATGTTGCTCTAGCATGGATAATCAGAATCTATGCATTTTCTCAACCTTAGTTTAACAAAATAAAATATTTAAAAGGTTTTATTTATAGGAATCATAATAAAGATTACTTACAGCTCTAGGCTAAAGTGTTCTTCTCAAAGCACTGGTATGGAAATGAGTTAAGACACAACTCTTCCACCTTTGTGGCCTGAAAAGTCAATATTGCCTTATTGACCTAGCCTATTACTCAAATCTGCCATGTAAGACAGTATCAAAATATCTTTTGATGGAGAAAACTAGTGGATGATACCTGTGAATAAAAACATTTAAAATATTACTTTAGTTTTATTGTTTTGTCAACTCTCATGCCTTAGAACTTAGGAGAGGTATAACTGAAAAAAAAAAAAAAAGTCTATTTCAGATTTTAAAAAATCACTCTCTCAAACCATTTTTCCCCACAGGAAAATGAAAAAGGAAACCTATAATGGTTTTCAGTTATGCTACTCAAACAAGGGCAACGTTTTATATTTTGTCTGTTCAAAAGAGAAAAGGTAAATACTAAAAAAAGATTCCTTAGCGCTTAGAACTATGTTTGTTTATATTTGCCAGGTGGAAAGAAGAAAGGGAAAAATAACTGAAAAAAGTGAGCTGAAGACTCATAAAGAGAGAAATGGGAAAGACACAGTGATTCGCATTTACTTACACTTAAAATTGAACTTCTTTTATGACAAAGAAACTCTGTAAATATTTGAACAGATTCTGGAAAAAGTCAGTATCTTCCCCAAAGTAAAGTTCTCTCTTACCATGAACCCTATTTTGCAGATTGATGAAAATCAAAAAGATGGTTTTTTAAGCTCTCTTAAAAATACTTCAAAGTAGCTTTTCTACAAATTAAATTACTTGAAGTACAATATATTAGTCTAACAGATCTAGAAATAGGATATTTCATCTCACTGGTATGTCTGTATCTCCTCGCTTCAATGGGATTTAACCTGTGTTTCCAAACATGGCAATCCGTAAAGACAGTTAATGTTAAATATCATTGAGTCAACGCTGAATCTCACACTCAAATATTTTTCGTCCTCATTTTTACATGACTGAGATTACTAACAGAAAATAGATGAATGGGTTGACAGTGAAAAAGTAATGAATTTTTTGTGTGTGCACATGCATACAACAGTGTTGAGAAAAACTACTTAGAGATTTGGATTGTCAGCGTTTAGCCCCTTATGAGAAATATTAATGCTCGGAATAGAGATAAGAAAGCCATAAAAAGTAAAATAAATGAAATTCATTCCACAATTACAGAAATATGGATTCATTCAATGGTTAGCGTGATGGGTATCATTAGCATAAATGTGCCTATATAGAATATTTCTGGAATGGTAATTGTGATACATTTACAGTGTCTATTTTCACATCACTTATTCACCAATTCATTACTTCAGAAGGGATTCTTATGGGTTTTCATCAGCTTAAAAAATCCACCACCATTAATTTTAAATAAACTTGCCACATAAATTCTTCTTTCCTACCACTGGAGAGGGAGGAGTGATAGTTTTCCTACAGGAGGATGCAGTACTAATTACCGGCCTTTGAAGAGCAATGTAACTAGTGTACAGCTACTCTAGAGCTAATGTAATTGATTTGCTATAGAAAAGTTATTTCAGGTTTGATTAGAAGTTGGTACGGTCCTCTTTCAGGATTGCTTTTTTGGACACAAAAAGCCTCAGCAACATTAGATGTTACCCTTTTTGGATCCGAGAAGCTTACCAAAGGCAATTGTTCAAAATCATCACTGGGGCACAGGCAAAATACTGAGCAAATAGTGTATTTTGGGCAACTCCATATTTTGCTCTGTCTGCCAACTTCACATTTAACTCTGTCTTCAGGGTGGCCAGAAGCAACTCTGCAGGCTCTCGTGAGCAAGGGATTGATGGTTACAATTCACAAATGCCAGTGACCTCACACGGCATGGCTCTAGTTTTGGTTCCTTTCCATCTGTTTTGACCACTGCAAGATTTATGTGCCAGCATCAGCTGTCAGAACAGACTCTTAGGCTAAGAGACTGCATCACAGCTTAAAGTCAGTGTTAAGGTGACTGTCCAGGAGCAAAGCAGTCCGAATCAGGGAACAGCAAAGGTGCCTTAACATCACCTTTGGGCCTTTTCTCCTCCATGAGGAATGCTGTGCCGAGTGTTCCTCGGTCAGAATTCAGGAGCTCACCCATGGTAACTAAGGAAGAGAAATACAAACAAAAAGTCACAATAAAATGTTTAAAAATAACTCTAAAACATTCCTAACCATTTCTGGAACAGAGCATATACAAAATAGGTTGTGGTGTTACAAAGCTTTTTATTGGAACTTGCATAATACTCCAAATCTTAGTCACACAATACATTTATGTTCATCACTATATTTGATTACTATTTGAAATATACTGCAACCAAATATAGAGAAAACCTCTTTGTATGGTGTAATGTAATATTTAAGCAGCGTAAATTTGGGACTGTCACAAAGTTAAACTGAGTACGAACTGTTTACTTAGTATCTGTTCACATGCAGTGGATAGGAACCTACACACTTCACTTAGGAAGTTGTAACAATGTACTTCTAGGCTTAAATCCTAATACTTCTAGGCCTGACAATATACTTCTAGGCCTAAACCATACCAGTTTTGTGCTGATGTAACTCAGACTCATCAGCATGAAAGTGGTGTCATACAGTTGTGAATCAGATCAATTCAGAAAATGTTACAGTAAGACTTTTGGCATATGGGCATATTTAAGTTATGGAATATCCAAAATAAATAACAAAACTCCAATGTTTACTTGTTACAGAAATGATTGCCTATTGTCCCTTTATGTCTTTCAGGCAGTTATTATTTTTACTAATTATAATTTAATACTTATATTGCAATGATGCCCAGAAGCCCCAATTCAATTCAAGTTAAAATCCATTGTTCAAGTCATTACCTAAACATCTAATGAGAAAAACTGCTGACGCTGAAGGCTTTTCAATCTAACTCTTAGAAAAGCTGCAACCCATGAATATAACTAACAATAGTGGTAAGGACAGGAAAAAGCAGCAATAAAACATTGTTACTCCAAACAACAACATATACGTTGTTCAGACCATTTGAAGTCTTGAAAGGGATAAATATAGATGTGGCTCTTTCAGCAACTGTTCTTTCAGTTTAGCTGTGTGCTGTTGCAATATTTACTAATGTCAATTTTCAAATATAAAAATAGAAATTTGAATGAGAGACGTTTAGGCTTGGTGTCTAATGTGAAACCATGTATGAAGAATTTGTTTAAACTTTCACTAGGATCACCTGCATAGTCTCACTTGAAAGTGTCTCATTATGTAACTTTATATTTTGTACTTTGTGCACTTAATCTGTAATTATATGGTAACTGGGATACCAACTCTGGGAATTAATGTTGCTGGGGACTCTGTTGTAGCTGTAATCTAAATACTGTCTTGATATTTATAGCACTTTTAAATCCCTGGGATAATTCTCGGTATTTCTTAATTTATATAGATAGTTGTATCTTGTCTATGTAAAATGTCTTCAGGAGCTGTGGTCTAGCTATCTATAGTTTCAGTAATCTTTGGCTAGGCTTTTATTTTTGATGGCTAAAACTGTAAGTGAAACAAAATCTTACATTGAAACTAACATCGCAACTACAGTAGATCCTCCATGGGAACAACAGTTGCTATAAATTTCCCACACCCATCTATTATCCAGCTGCATCAATAAATGCATTGGGCAATGTGAAATAAACATTGCCAAAGAACAATTTCACGTTAAAAAAGGTTATGGTAATCTCATGCGTAAGGCAGGTGCCTTGAAGAGTTCATGAAAAGGAGGAGGACATCAGTTACAGACAGGCATTCATATTAATTATGATAAGGATACTTTATTGGAAATTTGACAGGAATGATCAATTGTTCACATGAGATAAAATATTAGTAACTTTATTAAAGCTTCGGTGTAGTGCAGTATACCGAGAAATTTTAGATCCTTTTGTCAGTGCTTTTTACTTTAGGGGCTGAAGTTCTCGTGCTTGGCCTTAGTATGAAAGAGACTCATCTGAAGAAAATGGCTTATCTGAGCACAAAAAGAATGGAGGCGATTTAATGCTTTGGGAAATATATATATATATAAAACATTTTTTTATATATATATAAAAAATTCTTTTTTACAGATGCTGATGGTTATAGTAATTTAGTTTAAAGGTTTGAAACTAAGCATAAATGTAATCCCCAAAGGGGTTTATATGCGCTGTTAAGATGGAGAGACAATTCACTGAAAAGTAAAGAAACAATAAAAAAGTTTCATTATTATCCTAATAGAAGTGTGTCTTTACTTTCTGTATCTGAATGGATACATGTTAGATAAATATATGAATCCCATACACAGATAAGAAGTTGTAAATAAATAACAGTACTGTTAAACATTGTGGACTTACATGCATGTGATCCACAGTACATCTTGTTGCTAATGATTAAACTATCTTCATCCAAAGCCCCGCAAGGAACTGAATGAAGCGATTAATGATCCTGAACAGGAAATATTAATTGGAGTCATTTTGAAGGACTAGTAATGGTTTAAACAACTTTCCACTTCTAGGTGCCTGCTAAAATCAGAGGCAAGTTGATACTAACCTGACATACTGCTTTCCATTGCTGTTTTGTGGCTCATGCAAAATGGCTTTTTTTAGCATTTTGTCCATTTCTCAGTAAACACACATTATCATAATAAAGCACTATCCCAGCTAAGTTGGTGGTAGTCCCAGCAGAGAAGCCAGAGATTAAACGGGCATGAAAATGAAACTACCTCTATCCTTAGACGTGGTCTCTGCAGAACACAATTAAGGAACATAAGGTGAGCAGCATGTGTAAATCTGACCCGCTGTCATCTATGCTCTCTGTTTTGTGGCCGAACAGAACTTGAGACTCCAGGGCTGTTAAAATGGCATATTGCGTACACAATAGGTTATCAAATATCTGTGTCAGACAATCAAGGAAATTAAATACAAGAACATTTCCATCAACATACAGTTGAGATCTAACACAAACGAGTATCAGTCAGTGACCTACACTGTCTGCTTTTCAAATATACTTGTACATTAGTAGATATTACAGCATTTTACATACAGTAACATCCTGTTGTTGTATTGAGGGAGCTGAAATTCTTAAAGAGAAAATACAACTTTGTATTCCAGGGTTTATGTGAAAGTGTAACTATATATGTAACATTATTGTAATTGCTGTTACTTGCAACTAAGTTTGATATAACGTATCCAAACATCTTGTTTGGCGGCTGGAGACTGTTTTCTTTTCCTCCCCCCCCCCCCTTGGTTCCTTCTCCCAGGCTCCTGATAACTCAGTTACTGGAGCAGAAGGCACAACGAGGTGACAGCTGCCAGGACCGCTGCCAGTGTAAGACAGCAAACGTCTGATACATGATCGATTGTTTCGGCGACTGGGATACAATACGTGCAATTATTGAATTAGGAAGCCGAGCTGCTCACGCCCAAGGAAACGCTTGTCTTTCCGGACTGAATCTGTCTCGTTCCTTCAGAAGGAAAACGAGCCACCCCCTGAACCCGCTTTAGTGACTCTGCCAGATACACGAAGGAAAAATAGCTGCACCTTCATTCGCTAACTCCTGTGTGCTGCGCGGGC